ACTCACCCACAGTGCATTACGGCTCTTGAAAGATTGAGTTTCTTACCGAATCCACCCCCCCCCCCCCAAAAAAAAATACTCTTCGTTTCATTTTGGTTGCAAACCCGTGGGTTAGAGGGAAGAAGCAGAACGAGAGGTGTGTTGACCGACAGGCTGCTCCTGGTGGTAGTGGTGGTGGTAGTGGTTGAACACCGTGTGTGTTTGTCTACAATATTTGATTCACGGGGGGGGAGGGGGTGGTTGTTGTTTTATTTTGGTGGCCTCTTTGTCGTCGGATTGTTTGGCGAACACCGAAGCGGTTGCCTCCCCCGTCGATGGCGCGGGACCGTCGTCCCAAGTCGATGGCGCTCCCGACGCTAAAGTGTGGAGAGGGCTTCATAATATTTTCTCGTAAAGACCAGTTAGACGGCGCATTGATTTTCCATCTTCAATCTTCAAATCATCTCCGCTGCCCCTGTGAGTGAAACCAATCAACTTGATTTATGGAGGCCCAAACTCTAAAAAAAACAACAAGATATATATTGGTTTTCAGATGTTTAAAAGGCGTAACTGACTTGACCCTGCAGAACAACATCTCAGATTCCTAGCCATTGTAGAGCATCAACCCATTGTTGTACGTCAGTCACTCCGTCTTGATTGTTTATATACTATACATAGGCAAACGAGATTATGTATTTTTTCGATTTAAAGCTTTCGTGACTGCAAGGATTCATCTTCTTTGGTTCTTTCGGTAAAGTCACGTAGAATGAGAATAATTTTATTTTATTATTTTATTCTCATTCTACGTGACTTTACCGAAAGAACCAAAGAAGAGATTATGTATCTTTATATTTATGGTGAAATTCTTTCGCACCGTACGTTGCGCAAGAAAACGTCGTTTTTTTCGTTGAATGTAATTTATATTACAATTGTGTAAATGTTGCTATATTAAAGTGGCGTTAAATATCGGTGTTAAACACACCTTTACAATAGCCGCATAAATATTATTATTCAACAACAAAAAAACAATAATACTTTACAGCCCCTTGTAAACTCACTGCTGGATGGAGGCCTCCCCACGCCCTGTCGGCAATGGTGGGGAGTCGTTTGACCATACTTCACCACGCTGGTCAGTGCGGGTTGGTGAAGTGGGTGGAGGGGCGGGGGAGTCCAGGCACAGTTCACATGAATGAGGTTCAGTTCGACGCTGCCGCTAACCGCTGCGCCACCAATCCACCCTCCTTCCCCAACACTGTTGTGTATGCAAACGCGCGTATAGAGAAGGGTGTGGGTTAACATGTGTTTTCTTAACGTAAGTGTTTCAACATAGAACAACAACAGCAGCCGTCATTCGTCACTAAGCGGTGGTGATGTAGCTTTCTCCGACCCGCCCTCCACTGGACATCTGTGATGGGGGGGAGGGGCGTGGAAAAACAAGAGCTTCATAGCTCATTGGATTCCTCCTGCAGTGTTAAATACAGATGCTGAGGTGCACTCCGAGGCCACGTGAAGTGTCGAAGGCTCGCTGCTGGCAGGAGGTCACGGGACAGAGCCAGGTGCCACGGGTTGACTGACTGAGATGACCGGCAGATGCGTCAGCTGTGCCCCCCTACTATGCCAACTCGCCACGTGTCTGCCCCCCCCCATCCACCCGTTCACCGATATGGCTGGGGAAGTTTTCATCCATGGAGGGATTCAGAATTTAGACTTAAAAGTTTCGTGACTGCAAGAATTCATATTCTTGGTTCTTTCGGTAAAGTCACGTAAATAGAAAACAAAAAATCTAAAATAGAAGCAAAAAACCCAGACGTTTCGATCGCAACACAGCGGTCTTCTCCACCTGATGAAGGCCGCTTGTGTAGCGATCGAAACGTCGTTTTGTTTTTTTGCTTTTATTTAAGATTTTTTTTCTATTTACGTGACTTAACCGAAAGAACCAAGAATATGTGATTGAGTATATAAATAAATATTTACAAGACAATACTGAGCGGGCATCGTGCCGCTTTATATCGGCTTTAGCGTCACACTCCACGGCAGGCGAATGGCTCGAGTTCACTGACCATTGATGGGGGTTCGTGTAGTTCGTCGGTGTTTAGCGCAAGACTTAGAGCAGCGATGTAGAACTTTAGATTGTCTGTGCTCTATGAGTAAAACCAATCGACAACGTCCATGCCATGATTATTTTTTGGGTCGAAATATAGAAGGAAAAAAATAATGTCGTTTTATCAATTTTTTTTGGTGTGGACTTCGCTGAATGTTTGCCAAATTTCAGATCTCTTGCCTCTCTCCTGAACATCATCACTTTACATCAGTCAACCCTGTCGTGACCGTCAAAGCGTAACAATATTACACTATCATAGTTATTATATTGTGTCAATTATTATGGAGATATATTATGGGGGGGGAGGGGATCAACTCGGGGATAACTTGGGGTGTCGGTAACACGCGCGTTGCAATCAAGCAAACAACGACTTTTGTTTAGAACCCACGAACACGTGGCATGACCTCGCCATTTCGAGGTATTAGGAAGCTAAGCAGAATTGAGCCTGGATAGCCCTTGCATGGGTGACCGCTATACACACAGCAGGGTGTTTATATATAAGCTGCTGCGGGGCTATGTAGAGGGCTGTGTAGCTAAATCGTGGTGAAATATGGTGAAATGACCGACCCCCCCCTTCGAACGCTCTATCCCAGTGCTCTTCAATACTTTTCAGAGAGGGGGGGCACTTTCGCCGATAAGACATCATCGGTGCGAGGGCCGCCACACCATTTGAAACCATTGGGGGTTTGACAGCAGCACGATGATGATGGGGGGGGGGGAGGTGTTGTCACGTGTTGTCTATTGTTGGGGGCCGCACTAAAAGGCCGCCAGGGGGTCCGCCAGTGGCCTGCGGGCCTAGCAATGAAGTTGCACTGCTCTAGCCCATAAAATAAGGGACAGGTGATGTCAGTCCAGACACACTTTGCTCGACTGCATTCTGCTGGCAAGCCAGGGGGTGGCACCTCCTCGACACCCACGGGAAGGGAGTTTCAGCAGGATCTGTGAGTGATCCACCAACGCTCGCTGCTGCTCCCCACACAGTGCTGGATTTACAGACAGTCGCGCGCGTAGCCACCACCATCACCAACTGCCCCGGCTTTCCCGTGAGAAATTCATCGTCGCGTGCTGCCATCTCCTGGCCACCCAGAAAACTGCAGCTGGTTAGGGAGGAGCCTCACGAATCTCTCTCCGTCAGTGGTGCTTAACGTGGTGTGCGCCCATCCCCATTGGGCGTGCGAGATGCCCTTTCTAAGGGTACGAAACATGGCCAGATTTTTTTTTTACAAAGTAAATAATCCACGGAAGTACAACTACTTTGTTCCAGCAAACCTTTGTATTTTTTTTTTACATAAATAACGTTTTCTTTACGATTGAGAACCATAGAGGTGCAGGCTACAGTAAAGGTTAAGGAACCACTGCTCTGCGTAATCCACCAACCCTTGCCTCGAATTTGCTGGATCACAGCAGCGTCTATTTTTTAGTCATAGCTAGGCATTTCTGTATTTATTCACTCGTCGTCTTAGGCGCGTCGACGACAACTCGTGGAGCAATAATCAAGTCACAGTCAGTGCCGGATTAAGCGAGTGCGGGGCCTATAGCATGCTTTATAAAGGGGCCCTGAATTTAAAAAAAACGTAAATATTAAAACACATTTTTTTTACCTGCATAGTAAAGTTAATGTATTTTTTTCATTTGCTATACAGCCAGATAATACGACAAATCGCTAACCTTAAACACCCAGTCGTTCATAAAAGTTGAAGGCAGTATAGTACTATAATAATAGAGCAAGTGCATATTCACTGAACCGGAATTGATAGCTTGAAAGCATTTAGCGCGGGGCCCTTGAAAGTGCGGGGACCGTAGCTACTACATGTGTAGTAGCTACTACATATGTAGCAGCTACTACATATGTAGCTACTACATATGTAGCTGCTTGTGTGAAAGTGCGGGGACAGTAGCTACTACATATGTAGCTGCTTGTGTGAAAGTGCGGGGCCCGTAGCTACTACATGTGTAGTTGCTTGTATCAAAGTGCGGGGCCCGTAGCTACATGTGTAGCTGCTTGTGTGAAAGTGCGGGGCCCCTAGCTACACATGTAGCTCCTGTTGCTACTAGGATCATCCGGCACTGGTGTCAGCCTGTGGATTTCGTGTAGTCATTCCTCCGAGGCTAGTCGATTAGAGCAGTCAAAACGTGGAGTCCACTGCTAGTTACGAAGCTAAATACGCAACGTATTTTGGTGATTCGGCGGTGGCAGTGATTGCGCAATAACAAACAAACTCAACACATTCGTGAATAACACTGCGTGTGGCCTTAAACGAAATATATATATACGTAGGCAATGCGCTATGATGGACAATTGGCTGCATTGTCGCTTATGTTCTATTAATAACATGTGCTATGACGATGGACCATTGCCCGAATTGTCGCCTGTTAGTATATACTTTTATTTCTTCTACTTTTAAGGCCGCGCAGTGTTGTTGACGATTGTGCTAAGCTGGTGACCACGTGCTGGTTTTTACTCGTCGACCAAGGCCGTTGTTAACCTTTTAAGATCACAGATTGTAGGGGGGGGCAGTGCTTCTGTGACAGAGCGCATCAACGATTTAGTACATTCGCTGCTGCAGACGTCGACCTGTGCAATGCATCTTTGTGCACTCTGTCCTCAGTAACCGCTCACCATATCCTCAATGGTCATCCCTTCAGTAAATTCCGCCTGGTGGTGGCCTAAGCTCATCATCATCACCACTCTGTGTGGGGGAAGTGAACAGTGGTTGTCCTCCAGGTAGCCTCTCCCACGCCACAGGAATGTGGAATTTCTATCATAGTCTCGGCACTGCAAAAGGGGATACGAGCGCCGTTATCGGCGAAACGTTGACTCGATGTCCGCATCTCGATTTCTCTCATCTCAATATCATCACTTCCCCCCCACCCTCTCTCTCTCGATCTCCCCGTGTCCCTTCCCCTCGGCGCGCCCAAGGTTTGGTTCCAGAACCGGCGCGCCAAGTTCCGCAAGCAGGAGCGCGCGGCCAAGAACGCGTGCGCCGCCAAGAAAGCCGAGGCGCGCGCCGACGATGACCCCAAGGAGGTCAAGTCCGCAGCACCGGACAGCACCGCGTCCAGCAGTGGAGTCGGGGTGGGCTTGGGAATCGGCGTCGGACCCTGCGGTCAGAGCTCGGTCCAAGGCGGAGGAGTCGGAGTCGGGAACGGCAACGCGATATCCTCGGGCGGTCTCTCCATCCCGTCGGGCCCGCACGGGGTGACCGTGCAATCGTCTGGAGGAGCTGGCGGAGGAGTAGGAGGCGGAGGCGGCGGCGGTGGTGGTGGTGGCGTGGGACCCGTGGGGTCATGCGGGAGCCTGAGTCCCGCTTCCGACTGCGGCGCACGATCTGCGGCGGCGGCGGCGGCAGCTCACGCGGCGGCAGCGGCCGCGGCTTGGACGAGCCCCGTGCCCGGGGTGACCGTGTGCGAAGCCCTGGGGGGGCCCTTCGCTAGTGTCCTGTCGTCCCTGCAGCGGCCCGCAGGCATGAAGCCCTCGCCAGTGAAGAGCCACATCTTCTGAAGATGATGTGGATGGAGAGGATGGATGCGCAAGGGAGGGAGGAAGATGAGGAGGAGACGGGAGGAGAAGGAGGAGACAGGAGATGGGGGTTTAGAGCGTAGAGGATTGGGGAGGGCGACGTGATACCGGTGGTGGTGGTGGTGGAGGATGGAGAGGATGAGGAACGGATGTGAGGACTGATTGTCAGGGAGAAGTGGTGGTAGTGATGTGGTGGGTGATTGATAACAACGATGGCGATTGATAATGAACATGTTCATGTGGTCGATTGATATGGATGTACGGGTGATTGATATATGATGATGATATTGATTATTAGAGATGACATGATGAGCGTGCTGAAAGATGATCACGATTATGATGATAGTAGTTTTGATTGTTGATGGATGATGATAGTAGTAGTTTTCATTGAAGATTATGATGAGAGTGCTGAATGGTGCACACGGTAGCGAATGACGTCTGTGGATAATGAAGATGACAATGATCATTATGACAGTGGAGATGATTATTCCGAGATGATGATGATGACGACGATGGGTGACAATCGTCATTCTGATGCGATGATCAAGATGACGACGACGATGATGATGATGATGATGGAGACTTTGATGATCACGATGACTCCTTGAACCACCCAGGGCTGCCATAGACTGTCGTTTACTCTGCCCAGAAGAATGCCATCGCATAACGTCTTTTCGCGACAAATCTCACGAGGTCTGTCCGCCTCCCCCCTCCCTGTAGAAGTGCTATAGTGTGTGATATAGTGTATATCGGACGCTATAGTCCATATGTATTTATTATGTGAGTATGCTGTAGCACGCTATGATATGCAGTATATATGAAATGCTATTGTATGTGCTATATGCAATGCGCTTAGTGTATTATATACTGTACATCGTGCCACGTGCACAATTATACAGTATAATCATTTTAGTTCGTTTTAAATCCACTGCTAGATGAAGCTCCCCTCTCCCCCACCCCGCCCCAACTTCGTGTGGGTCGCAAGGGTTTGTGTGAACAGACTTCACGATGGCTTGTGTGGATTGATGACGACAAAGGGGGTGGGGTGTGGGGGAGGAGGCCCAGGACCGGTTCGGATATTAGTCAGTGCCACCGATGTTAGCCGTGGCCGGGAGTCGAACTCAGGTGGCCGGGTTCATGGAGCGCAATGCGCAAACCATTGCGCCACCGCTCCCCTTCCACCCACCCCCACGAGCACTGTATATGCAATATATATCTCAGCATATAGGTGACCTTGTAGAACCGGCAGGACTTATCGACTGTGTGAAAATCGACAATAGGTGTGTAGACTATACACGCGCAGTATATACGACTGTACCATTCAAGAGAGTATTCTTGGCAACGGAATTAGAACGGAACGCCACCCACAATAAACGCCATCGTGTTCATCAATATCAGGGCTCGGGTTCTTATTAATTTTCAAGTACAGAATCCTAAAAGTGCTCTGGATGATGACGACGACGACGACGACAAGGGATGATGAACACATTCATGTCGGGAGTCGTGTTGGTACGGACAGAGTCACAACTCTAAAAGCCACGCTTTGGGTGAGTCTGTTGCGTATTTGGGGGCGAATTGCGTTACCGTGCCCGGTGTAAAATCTCGCACCCTGGGGCCCGCGTACCCCGCGTGCGCCACGCGACTTCAATTGTCACGCAACCGCGGCCACAACGTCTATGTCGAACCACTCGGAAATTAAACGTGTCCGTCACTGCAAGCATCTGAGCCACACTAATCGGAGTCAAGAGGGGAGGTGGGCGGGTGGGGTGGGAGTGGGGGCGGGGGGGATAAGGAGGGTAAAAAAAAATTGCGACTTGATTTGAAACATAAAAGTTTTTAATTATTTTAGCACCCTTAGTCACTTGTCTGCGTGAGCCTCAGCAGGTAGTTACAGAACTGGACTGAAGTGCGCGCGTGTGTGTATGTGTGTGTGTGGGGAGCGGTAGTGTAGCGGTTAGCGCGCTGCACTATGAACCTGGTGACCCGGGTTCGATTCCCGCTCACGGCCACCTAGGTCGACTCAGCCTCAAATGGGTACCTGGTGCGGTGGATAAAAACATTGCCACTAGGGAGACAAAGGCGGTCGGGCGTGGTGCTGGCCACCCACCCCCTCGTGTACCGTTCCGGCCTTCACAGGTGCTCGCTAACAGCACTTGCCCCTACAGTCTGTTAAGGCTATACGGGGGGGGGGGGGTCTTTTTCTTTGTATGTGTCTGTGTGTGTGTTAACTAACGCGTGGTTGCCCGAAGCTGAGTATTATTTAAACGTCCTGGTCGACCCGGGAAAACAAAGTAATTAGGTACGCACTGCCAAGGGCGACTGAATATTATAGTGAGTGAGTGATGATGATGATGCTGATTATGCTGATGCCATTTATTTATCCAGAAACGCCTCGGCGAGTCTCAAGACTCCTTTTTCCAGAGGGTCCTGAAAATAGTTTATACAGATACGTAGCCTCCCAGGAAGGCGCGCGTGTGTGTGTGTGTCTGTGTGTATGTATGTGTACAAATGTACGTACCTCGTCGTCCATCCAATATGGGCAAGTGGTCTGTTTCTCGCGGAAATGTCATAGTCGAACTCATGAAATAGCTAACGAAATGACACTCACCCACGGGGCTGTCCAGACATTCATGGGGCTGTCGAGTCATCCACGGGGCTGTCGAGTCATCCACGGGGCTGTCGAGTCATCCACAGGGCTGTCGAGTTACCCACGGGGCTGTCGTCTCACCCACATTCTCAGCCAACACACACCCGCAAACGCCACACATCACAACATGCAAACACGCACACACACTCATTTTACACGTAGGCTTTCATGACCAATATTAAGATGCGTAGTTAGGTTTTTTCTGGTTAAATCGTGTCGGCAGAACGTGAATTTGTGTTTTAACTATAACCCACCACCCGACAGAGCCAATCAAGTCAGGTTAGCACGTGGGATAAATAATACTGCACGCCAAACTATTTGCTTTTTCAGCAAAGCCGGAGGAACGATGACAACGTTGCGCTCTCACGTGAAAGCGTAGCCCTTGTTGACGCCTGATGACGCTGGATGTAGGCATCTCAAGCGAAACGTCAAAATTTAAGACTGTTAATTGTCAAATTTTAACTTTTCTAAATTTCCCGTTTTTTCCCCGTGGAAACCCCAACCAATTGGGGGATAAATTTGCCCGTGAAGTGTGAAAGATTGATTTTATCAGCTCAGTCTCGCGGTGGATGATTATCCAGTACAGTACAGCAGTAAATAACGAAATAGTTGATGTTTGTTCACCACAAGTACCGTGTGTGGCTAATGCAGTACTTGGTTCTTTGTAAAAGTTTCTATTTGGCGTTTGAACATCTTTATAACGCCTCCGGTTTTCATTGCCAGCGAGGGAAAAAGCTATTCTTCTTTCATTCATAATTCACATTGTAACTACGTGGCGACCTCACCCAAAGGAAACTATACACGAATCGCACACACACATCACATCACCCAGCACGCGACACAATCCCAAATCCTGACGCGCCGGCGTTAGACACCCGTTCCTTCCTTTGTTTGGTGAACAGTTTCAATATTGCCTGTGCTTCTCAGGCACTTGATGTGGCTCACCTGTCGGACAATAACCCTACAACTTAGTATTTATTTTTGTTTATTCCTAAGATAAATGAGCATTTTCGATGAACATCATGACAATAACAATTAGTCGAACAGTTTTCGTCGTTGTACATATACCCATCGGGTTAGCGTGTTAAACATTGTCGTCAACATACCTTAGTGTTCGCTTATATATAGCTCTATAAAATATAAATACAGTCCGCACCGGCAATGGTGACTAGTAGTATGATACGGTAGAGGCTCAATTTCTATCGAATATATTCCGGATCGCTGATAGACTGGAGCTAGACAACGGGACCCGATAGCCACAACCATAACGAGATGCATACTGGATGTGGTGTGCCGCGTGCGGAGTATTTATTCCGGGGTCCTCCGTTATTATCCTGGAGCGGTAGGTGGCAACGTGACCTAAGCAAGTAGCCACGGCCATGATCGAGACGTATACTTGACGCGGTGTGCCGGGCGCGGAAATGATTTTTGTTTTTTTCACCCCCCCCCCCCTCCCGGGTCGTGGGCCCGGCTGAAATGAAGCCCTGCTGTGTGTAATATCGTTATAATATGATGATGATGAGCGGGGAAACATTCGCGCGCGCCGTTCGCGTTGTTGTATATATCCATGGAGTGCGTATAAAGTATTGGCTCTCTGCACTGTGTTGTGACCATAAATCGGTGCTGGTCGGATGTTCAATAAAGGGTTAACACAAATGTGCGAGAGAGAGTGTGTGTGTGGTTTTTTTTTTCATTGGACTGCACTGTGTCACTTGTATAATCTTTTGGAGTGTGGGCGCTGGTGGGTTTTGTTTAGTTTTGTGACATCCCTATTGATCGGTGTGTAATGTGACCTCCCTTACTTATCGCGATAATCGTCATATCGTGAATACTGAAATCGTGGCAACTTCACTGCTGTGGCAGTGAACTGGTCTAGGACTAGGGATCACAGTGATGAGTGGAGTACTGTCGTTAGCTTGTAGGAGAAAGCACAAAGCAGAATGAAAGACGCCTGTTTTTTTTAAAGGTTAATTTGTGTTTGAGGTCGGCATCGTCCAGGAGAGGCATGAAGGTCGAAGCTGTCCAATGCCTCTGCGAAGAAGAGGAGAGAGCAGAGAAGATTATCACGGTTGGCTACGTACGGAGCGAAAGAAGTTTAAACAATACAAAGTCTCAATTTTTACTTATTTTTAATACAAATTTCCAATATGATATTTTTTTTCGTTTTTTTATTCCGATTTCTACTCGCTCGTCTCTCCTCTCTCTCCCTGTGGTCGTGTGGATTTAGTTTTCTTCGGATTATCTGTTCCCCCCACCCCCCTCCACATTTTGAAAGATGCATCGACATTATTTTGATTATTTTTCTGCTGTGGACTTCCACACGATGACCCCACTTCATTGAGCCATTTACTTGCGGCCAATTCGCTTCTGAAAAAAATAGGCTAATAGCTTTGTGTGCCTTATGGTACCTGGTATGATAACAAATAATATTTGTATTCGTGTTTATTTTTGAAGTGATTGGTTTTAACTGCGCTATGTTTTGCACGACTGTCGTGTTTTTGCACTGTTTGTTGTTGTAACGTTCTCCTACTGGACATCTGTGAAACGAGCTTTATAGCTCTTCGAATTCCTCCCGTACAAATACATATTGTGATTTTTTATGTATTTAGTTTTTATGTATATATTTTTGAAGTGATTTGTTTACATTTCCTATACTTTGCACTCCTATCGGGGTTTTGTAATGTTTGTTGTAACGTTGTTGTAACGCTATGACATGGACATGTGTGCAAAGGAACTTTATAGCTCATCGGATTCCTCCTCCAGTCTAACTATATAAATATTCTGACGATTTCTGAATACCCTCCCGTTAGATTCCACACCGCGGATAAGCAATTTGGCCGTCGCGGCTGTAACAGGATTGAATGATTCCGCGATAGAATGAATTATAAATTATGTTAATGTAATGCAGCCAATCAGCGTCAAGGGGGCGGTCTAATGTCGGCCCAACAGAAAGAATGATAAATTATGTTAATGTGAAGAAGCCAATCAGCGTCAAGGGGCGGTCTAATGTGGGACTTTTCCGATCCACAAATCGTCTCTTTGGAACCGGGAATCGTTTGCGATCCGCAGATCGTCGGTTTCGATCCAGAAATAATGTCACAGGAATCATACTATATTCTTAAAAAATTAAGTATATGAATTACTGCAGTCACGAGAGCTTTAAATCAAAAGGAATCATACTCTTTGATTCTATTGGGTAAAGACACGTAGGTAAAAAATAAAATAACAAAAGCCACTATTGTGATTTTTTGTGATTTTTGTTATTTTTATTTTATGTGATTTTTTGTGATTTTTGTTATTTTATTTTTTACCTACGTGACTTTACCCAATAGAACCAAAGAGTATGGATCCTTGCAGTCACGAAAGCTTTAAATCTAGAATTCACAGGAATCACTTTTAACGAAATCTTGACTTAAATCTTTCGTGACTACAGGAATTAATATTCTTGGGTCTTTCGGTAAAGTCACGTAGATAGGTTCAAAGAAAATAATATTTAAAACTTGGTATTTTTTTGTTTTTGTTTTCTTTGAACCTATCTACGTGATTTTACCGAAAGACCCAAGAATACGCTTTTAACTATTTAAAAAAATATTTTTCTAAATATGACAGATAATGTGTTCGAGCATGAATGAAGCATCGATCAAGCTTTAGATCCTTAAAAATCGGTCGATTCCGGCTCAATCGAGCATTGAATCGTTAAAAAAATACCGTCGCATACCCTTAGTGCTGCATACGTTATTTCAAAGCAATTCAGACCTAATTGGTCACCCCGTGCCCCTTATAAATCTCAACGTTCATCCTGCAAAGTCCCATCACAAGGGAGAAACACACACAAATAGACAATTTTATTTTGCCCGCATTGAAACGGCTGTGCGCCGTATGGACTTGAAAAAATCTATTTCACTGTACAAGAATCCGGGGTAAACCGTGTGGGTTGACAGGTACGCTACTATACATTATACACTACTATACACTACAACTACTATACACTACACTATACATCAATAATATGTTTTTTTGGATGAGATCTTGTAAATGTAAATGTGTCGTAAAACCCGCCACCACCCGACACATCCAATAAGTAAAGGTTTGTCACTTAAACAGAACGTGCCAATTCGTTACTAGTACAGTGCAGGGAAGTCTTCCATGTACATTAATACCAGGTTGTAAACCGTACAACTGCTATGCTTAACATGTGGCAGGCTTTTGCGACCAATATCATCCATAATAGAGATTTTTTTTGGGGTTAGATCGCGTTAATATATAAATGTGTTGTGGCTTGGCTTAGTGACAAATTGGCCACGTTCTGTTTACGTGACCACCCTTACTAGTTGGCTGTGTCGGGTGGTGGCGGGTTTTAACGACACATTTATATAAATGTACGCGATGTAACCCCTAAAAAGACCTCTACTATGAACTGCTATGCTGTCCACTACCCCGTTCCAGTATTCCTTCTCCATATACGGCCCCAAAACATAAACATAATTTCGATTTAAAGCTTTCGTGACTGCAGGGATTCATATTCTTGGTTCTTTCGGTAAAGTCACCACGTAGAAGGGAAATAATAAAATAATAAAAATATTAAACAATAAAATTCTCACGACGTTTCGACTGCAACACAAGCAATCATCGTCAAGTGTGAAAAACCACAGCAATCGAAACGTCGTGAGAATTTTATTGTTTAATTTTTCATTATTTTATTATTTCCCTTCTACGTGACTTTACCGAAAGAACCAAGAATGTAAACATAATTCTTCTACGGTAAACTATGTTAATACTCTTTGTTTTTTTTCGGTAAAGTCACGTACAAATAAGAAATAATAAAATAACATAATAGCGTACGACGTTTCGGTTGCGACACAAGCAGCCATCATCAGGTACAGAAGAGCAAAATTTACAGACACCCAAGTAGGGGGAACTAACACAGAAACGTCGTACGCTATTTGTTATTTTATTATTTCTTATTTATACGTGACTTTACCGAAAGAAAAAAAAACAAAGAGTAATTCCTGCATTCACGAAAGCTTAAAATCAAGTCTAAAACTATGTTAACGTTTCAAATGTTCTGTTAAATCACTAGATAAATTATGTTGATGCTATATAAATTATGTTGATGATGTGAGATGGGAGCCAATCGGCGTTCGCGCTTCGGAGTCCGCCCCGCCCACCACCCCCCCCCCCGGAAGCCGCCTCAGCGGTGCTGCAATGGCGGCGCGAGTGTCGTACTTTTACGACGCGGACGTGGGCAACTTCCACTACGGTGAGGGAGGGACGGCGGGCGCGAGGAAGGAAGCGACGCGCGAAAGCCTGGACGATTAATTGTTGTTTGGGAACCGTCTGAAAGCTGCTGCCGGATCCCTGTGTTTGTTGTTGTTGTTGTGGTCGCGTTCACGGCGGTGGCGGCATCCCGGCGGCCGAAATGGCTGTTCGGTTTCGCGATCCTTAGGCTTCAATCGGCGGCCGCGCTACGCGGTTGTTTTTGTCGACGTTGACAAACGATTTGCTTTCTGTACTCTGTGTCGCGCAAGAGTCGCACCGAGTCGTTCGGAGTCTTTATCAGCAGGGGGGGGGGGGCTGCCACAGCGGGTTTATTATTTTACCGGAACAGTCTGTAGTGTGGGGGGGGGGGGAGAGCGGGGAAGATCTTTATAGCTCGTCCGATTTCTTAAATAAATATTCGGATTCTGATGAATATGTTTTCTGCGCCAGTTAATTGATGGCAGTTTATTGTCCCGTGTTGGGAGGAAATCGGAACACCCGGAGGAAAAAAACTTGAGCGAAGGTTTGGGAGGTGGGGGGGGTAGCAACACACACACACACGGTATCAACGTACAGATGGAAACAGATGGCAATTAGTCTCACACTTTGCTGGACAGCCACCTTCGGGCGAGCCAGGGTTTTATGGCCCAGGGCAAGGCAGTTTCGTTCACAGCGATCATTGCTATCCACCAATCCTCGCCGGCACAAGCGCTGGGTGGACGCAATGTGTGTTGCAGTGTGGTGGATGTTCTTTGTCGTCGTGTTGAGGGTCTGTGGCTCTTTGAGGCTTTCTTGGGAGATTAGGGGGCGCTCTGTGAGCCCTTGTGGGGGGGGGGGAATGAGTCACTGTGGGGGGCCTAAGTTGGGTTTTGTTGGTCCATGAGGCTTAGTTTGTATGACACCGTGGTGGGATTTCGTTAGTTATTTGAGATTTTGGGGAGTGGGACAAGGGGGGCTTAGGGTTTGCTATATGAATCTTCGGGGCGGGCTTTGGTTGTTATCTTTGGGGGGCATAGTTTGGATTTGAGTCCGTCTGCAATCACAATTTGGTTCTTTAAGCCCATGGAAGGGCTTTGGTTTTATGAGTCGTTTGGGGGCTTCGTTTTGTGAAATGAGTCCATGTGGGGGTAAACATTGGCCCTATAAACCCTTGGGGTGCTCGGTGGAACTATATAAGTTCTTGAGGGGGGGGGGGGGCTTTGTTTTGGTCTCTTAAGGCCTTGGGGAGAATAGTTTGGGTATGTGTCTAACAAGTTTGCAGCATTTCGTCCCTGTACTATCCACTGTATGAAGTCAATGCCACTTTGTTTTCCCCGTGTGCCCAGGGCCTGGCCACCCGATGAAGCCACATCGCCTGGCGCTCACCCACAGTCTCGTGCTGCACTATGGCCTTCACAAAAAGATGATGGTCGGTGGCTGTGCACTGTCACCAGGGTTGTCCAGGGACAGTTTCTTCACCGTTTGAGCAACCTCACGGTCAAAATGTCAAATTCATTCTTGTGTTTTTGGAGGTGGTTAAATTTGGTTTTCGAAAATATGGCTTTTTAATCGAAACATTTGATGGCTTCACACACACAAATACCAAAATCAATGCAACATCACCAGTCAGTGCAGCGTGGATGAAAACGGCAGTTTGTCTGAATGCTTCCAACACCAATCGGCACTGACCACCTCGAAAGAAGCTTGGCCAAATGAACCTCGCACTACGGGGAGGCCTTCGAACCAGCAATGGATTAATAACAGGCTGCTGCTGCTGCTGTACACGTAGGCTTGGTGTTCAAGGCGCCCGGCTTGCATTGTCGGTGACGGTGCCTGCGCCCCCGCGTTCCACAGGTCTACAAGCCGTACCGCGCGTCGCAGCACGACATGTGTCGCTTCCACTCGGAGGAGTACATTGACTTCTTGCAGCGCGTCACGCCCCACAACATCCAGGGCTTCACCAAGAGCCTCAACACTTTCAACGTCGGGGACGACTGGTGGGATATTTTACTACTCTTCCTCCACCCTCTACTTTTGGGTGCAAAATCCCAACTTCCAGGATAAGGATTCGACCCTCCATCCCTTATGAGTCGATGTGTTTTGCAATTTTGCGTTGCGATTTTGTTTTTATATATATTTGGTATTTGTAGGGGTGTAACGATTCACTCCCATCCCTTCTAGACGTTCACTCAATCGTCTTGTTTCAGGTGTATAATCAAATGGTTAATCATTTTTATTCATATTGTGTTGAATGTAGCACTCTCCAATGCCTACAGTCATGTGAACCAATGCATCGATACATAAATGAAGAGCTGGCACCACTCAGGTCCTGGGTTTGAATCTGGACAAACCAATGATTCAGCGAGGTTTTCAGTGTAGCAAGTCGATGATCTCTGTCTGATCACCAATTGTTTCACGGAGCACATATGCAATTAACATAAAATTCACATTTAAATTCCAACTCTTGATTTAAACATTTTTGCCTTGGTCGACATGCAGTGAACGCTTTTCATAGGGCATATACACTCAGGTGTGGATAAAAATGCCTATTGATGTAGTGCCCTTGAGTAGTTCTGCGATGTCATCTTCCAAGGCCTTTCTTGGAAATATGTTGATGCATTGCTAGCTGCAGAGCTCCGAGTGGACATGTCTTCATGTCATGACGTAACGCTAATAGCACAATTCGAATGTAATCGGGGGGAAAAAAATGACACAAGAGCGTGCGTTTAATTTCTTTCTCTGATTATTATGCGCAAAATTAGTTCAGATCGCCCCTACAACCTGTAGAGGGGATACAATGCAACACAATGGTAAAAGACTTGATTTTACACTTCAACCGCGACCCAACATCATTACAATTCATCGAATTGCGATATTGCAAAACATTTGAGGGTTACAACAAAAATTTACATGCAGGAGCGTTCCAACAGTTCTATCATCTGCTGTAGGCATCGGGCTGGTTTTCCACCGACCGTGTGGCGTTGTCATTCCCACAGCCCCGTGTTTCCCGGTCTCTTCGAGTTCTGTGCAAGGTACACGGGTGCCTCCCTGCAGGGAGCGACGCAGCTCAACAACAAGGTGAGCTTACGTCCGCTCGTGCCCATACGATCAAATTCATTAATGGATCCTGGATATCGCCGCACAGTGCTGAGCAGCTGAATATCTGGATTTACACTCCATGGGCAGGTATGGTGTTGGAAGTGGATAGCATCACTCCCAGTACATTCTGCTGCTAAAACACTTGCTTCTTGTGTGTGTTATATCCCTTTATCTCTCCCCCCCCCAAATTAGATGTGCGATATTGCAATCAATTGGTCTGGTGGGCTTCATCACGCCAAGAAGTTTGAGGTAACGTTCTGCTCATCAGAAAGTTGTCTTTGCTTTTTCATGTGAAAGGTTTACAAAACGGACGGCTTTTCCCGTGAAATTAGATCGCCGAAGGGAAAACTGCTGGGATGTGGTAGTCTTGCTGTGTTGTGTGTTTGCCGCTGCTGGTTTGTGTCATTTAAACGAATCTTCTCTTGACTGTGTTTTCAGGCATCGGGATTCTGCTATGTCAATGACATAGTTATTGCCATCCTGGAGCTGTTGAAGTAAGTTTGTTGTGTCTCTTGATTTCCAGGATTAATTTACTTCCACGAATAAATTGTTTGCTGTAATATACTTTATTTAACAGCCAGCTCAAGGGTGAATGTTTGAGCAACATGGCCAAAGTGGTCGATTCTAAAATGATATTCCAAGCAAAGCAAAATGAATTGGTGATTATTATTCTTAAGAGTCGCTATTTTGCAATTATGAATGCAAATGTGTTTTTTTATATGCATGCATGCAAGTTAGTGTTTATTTTAAAAGTTGATATTATTTAATCTTTATTGAGAATGTAATTATTTAATGTTCTTCAATAAGTTGTACATTTATAAAATGTTACTTCCTGCATTGATTTTGCTTATGCATGAGAATTTGCTGTTTTTGCTCGACTTATTTAACCCAAGCCTCGGTGAACAAAGAGATCCCGACTCTCACTGGGCACCTATATAATTTACAGCCCTTTGTCTATCCACTGCTCGATGAAGGCTGCCCAATGCCATATTTAGCTGATTGTTTGAGTATACTTCATCATGCTGGTCAGTGCAGGTTGGTGAAGTGGGGCCCGGTACAGATATTCTCATCCATTGGTCATATCCGTGGCCAGAAATACAACTTGGGTCCACCAGGTTCATTGCGCAGTGTGCTAACCACAGAACCACTGCTTCCACTCCTTCCTAGGTAATTAGGCATTATTATTATCTGCATATTAAACAGCTGCTGGTGATGGCAAAGTAAAGGGGGGGGGAAATAATTATATAATAATTTACGCCCCTTTTATCCACGCAGTCCCTTCATGGGTTACTTTCTGAGCAGCAGAGGGTAGTGCTACAATATAAATTGTTGTACTATACCTATGTACTATTTATTTTAGCAGGTAGGGCCCACTGAGCTATATAGTTTTCAGAATCAACCTGGTCACAAATGATAGCTCAACGAAGTGACTTACCATGGTGAAAATGTATAGCAGTCAAATACTCTCAACGCATGTTGATTCGAAATGTGGAGGGCGAAACCGTAGGACACGGAGAATAATCCACACGACCACGGGGAGAGAGACATGTGAACTCCAAATGTGTTCCCATGTCTAAACTCTCTGCCATCACCGAACCCACGCTGACCAGCATGATGATGTTAGTACGTTCACGACCGAACATTGCGCGGAGAGGCCTTCATCCATTGACACGTACGTGCCATTCCGCTGATGGACAGCGCTGCCCCCACACACTCGTCAGTCATGGGCCGTGTCTCTCGTTAGCTATGCGTGATAGAGCGATCGTCGGTGCCACTGCGTGCGCAGGTACCACCCGCGTGTGCTCTACATCGACATTGACATCCACCACGGCGACGGGGTGCAGGAAGCCTTCTACCTCACCGACCGCGTCATGACCGTGTCCTTCCACAAATATGGGAACTACTTTTTCCCCGGAACAGGTGAGAGGAGCCCCCCTCCGAGAATTGTTGATTTATTTCTTAAGCTGTTAAAACATCTTTTAAACATTTTGATTTAAAGCTTTCGTGACTGCAGTAATTCATATTTAGTTTTTTCGGTAAAGTCACGTTGAAGGGAAACAACAAAATAATAAAATATATATAAAACAATAAAAAATTCTCACGACGTTTCGACCATAACTCAAACGGTCATCTTCAGGTGTGTTGGTATGCATATGGTCGAAACGTCGTGAGAATTTTTTATTGTTATATATATATTTTATTATTTTGTTGTTTCCCTTCAACGTGACTTTACCGAAAAAACGAAGAATATATTTTAAACGTGTTGTAATTCTCGTCAGGTCTCATCGTGTAAAGTATACAGTCTTCAACTTCTGTTATACACTGTCTTTCTGGCCCGTATTAATGTGCAATGAAGGAGGGCCATTGCTCGAAACGTCGCCAACTATACATTTTAGCTTTTAAGGTCACTGTTATTTACGAACGTGCCAAGGTGTTTGTGCTTGTCCAACACTGCCAACGGAATATTACCAAATAATGTATTAAGTGATTAGTTGCTGTATATCTGTAATGTGCTTCAAGTTCCAGTGTAATAATTCGTGAACAACTACTTTGTCTGACATTAGTTTAAATATATATCTCTTGGCCTCGTAGTCATGTTTGAAAGCATTATTTTCTGGAACATACGCTTGGTCTGTTGTTGGTGTACACTGCCTTAACTGTATAAATAACTTGCGCTCGATCTCATCAGTTCTCCAAAACTGAGCAGGCTTGAGCCTGGATAGTGGTTGGATGGGCAACCACCATCAATAAAAACAGGTGTTATAGGCTGCTGTAGGGCTACGTGATGGGCAGCAGGTTGGGCGATGCAGCAAAGTCCACTGTGAAGCAGACAGCGGAGGGTATCATGGATATTATAAACCCGCCAGTATTAATCGGGGTGGCCGCTGGATTCAAACCGTCAACCTCTGAAACAAGCGGCGAACGCTCCAACTGAAACGTGCGTTTAGAGTATTTGGCTGCTATAAATTTCGACTTGATAAGCCATTTCGTTGCTATCATTTGTGGCCAGGTCACTTCTGAAAAAAGAGCTATATAGCTTAGAGTATGAAAAATAAGAATAGGTTTTAGACCTTTCTGGCGATAAAATAAGTCTGTATTAACCACAAATAGCAAGTACCTGTGGTTAATACAGACTTGATTCCTTGCGAAGGGTATCTATTTTGTATTTGAAAATCTTAACACCTATTCTTAAAATAGAAAAAGTCTTTATAGTTTTTATAATGTTTAGACAGTGTTGAGTGTGGGGTTAGGACCTGTGGCGTGACATCGCGGCTGACGTGCTGCCGTGTGCCACACCTCACAGGTGATATGTACGAGGTGGGTGCAGAGAGCGGGCGCTACTACTCGGTCAATGTCCCCCTGCGGGACGGCATCGACGACCAGTGTGAGTTGCAGCGCGACTGCCCGATCGTCAATTTTTTTTTACATCAATCTTGTTTTGTTGAGGGTAGCTGCCATATCTCTTCACTCTCCTTAAACCTCTGACCATGGAGAACTGCAGTATTCTGCGGAGCGTGTGACAATATCAGTCGGTCATCCCCAGGACTCGGGACGGTCTTGACTGAGTGACGTTTCATTCCAGTCCATGGATAAATGAGAGGCGATTGGTATCTGAACCTGGGATGGGCCCGTGCCCAAGGTCGACTCAGTCTTTAAATTAATACCTGGTACGGTGTGTGCAAACATTGTGGGGAGAGAGTCAAAGGTCGTGGCACTTGCCACACCACGAAGCCCCCTGAGTGCAGTGTCACTTTTAATAGGTGCTCCCTAACAGTACATGCCCCAAATGTAAATTCTCTACAGAAGGTCTCGGTTTTTGACATATACTTTTTGATTCCTGACTTTATGCAGGCTACAGGCTGCTGTTCCAGCCAATCATCAAGCAGGTGATGGACTTCTACCAGCCCACGTGCATCGTGCTGCAGGTAAGATCGCCCAGATAACCGTGTGTGCGCTTGCCCTCCCATTTCTTATCGATTTGGCTCTACTTGTTCCCAAGTTGTCCACTTGGTTCTGCTCCATTGTGATACGCCCGCCTACCTGGCGTGTATGTGTGTGTGGATCTTCTTTCGCACTGTATTTAGCCATCCGTGCTAATCGGAGATGCGTGTGTGTGCATCCTGTAATCAGTGCGGCGCCGACTCACTGGGCTGTGATCGCTTGGGCTGTTTCAACCTCAGCATCAAGGGACATGGGTAAGTGTTGCTGGCGGCTGATGGCGGTTTGCTTTGCCTGTCTTGTTGTGTTAACGCGTAACTATGAAGGGCGTCATGGAAAAACATAACCCACAAAATCCCATTGTCCAGAAAGTAGGCTGCTAATTCCATTATTCCCATGACAGTTTGTCCAGAGTAGTCAACTAGCAGATAGAAAAACTCCATTGGTGTATTGTGGTATGGCGTTCCACGGCGCATTGGAATCTGCGGATGAGATACGCCTTACAGATGTTAATTATTATTTGTGATGTTCTCGCGATGGGCCTTGAGAGACCGGGTGTTGTGTGTGCGCGTGTAATGTCGGTCTCAGCGAGTGCGTAGACTTTGTAAAGTCATTCAATATTCCGCTGCTGGTGCTCGGCGGAGGGGGCTACACAGTGAGGAATGTGGCACGGTGCTGGTGAGTCGCGTTATCTATCTGATCATTACAACGGTTGTTAGCCTATCGGTGATTGCGGGTGGCGGTGCCTAATGCCTTGGCGTTGATGTTGCAGGACATATGAAACCTCTTTGCTGATGAACGATCCGATAAGCGATGAACTTCCCTACAACGGTGAGTAGTTACTCGGGTTGCATCCTCGTGTAAACTTTACATATGCCAACTTTGGTAAGATGTTTGAGGCAGTAGTGATGTCGGCTATACTGTATGGGTACGAGATCTGTATTTTAACAAAAGAACTCGAAAAAAATGTCTGTCCTTTGATTACAGGTGCATGTGGAGAATATTAGTAATATGAAAAAAAATAGGGTAAGTAAAATACAAATTGGGAATGAAACGGAAGTTTTGCAGATGTAATCATGAGGCAGACGTTGCAATGAGTGGGGACGTGTAGGAGGGAGGAGGGGCAGGTTACCGAGGTGGGCTTTGGATGGAACACCCAGGGGTGGATGAAGCAAGTGGGATACACACCGTAAGAGCAGACCTTGAAGGTCGGATGTTGACCTTACAACTGCAGTATCTGGAAGAAGAAGGAAGGGATGGCGAGGCATGGTGACCTGTCCTTGACCTCGTTACTCTTAATGATGTGTTTACACACTTGATGATAATCTCAGTGTCGTTTTGTTTCAGAGTATCTGGAGTACTTTTCACCCGACTTCAGTCTGCATCCAGACATCAGCACTCGCATTGAAAACCAGAATTCCAAGCAGGTATGATGCACTTTCGCAAGTTTTAACGTAGGAAAGCAGCAGTTTCAACTTATGAGGAAGCCACTGGAACCATATGAACTTTTAAAACTAGATTGAAAACTAATTTCTTTAGAACTGCTTTTTTGGCTTTAGTTTGTTATCCTTCCCACCCACCTCCGTTTGACATCATTGTCTACGTACGGTGCGAAAGAAGTTCGACATACATGATGCTACTATATGGAACCTGCATAATTTACGAGATTACTTACGATAACATTACGATATATACATACATTACAGTGTCTACAATGTACTGTTACCTCCATGTTAACACTAATTCACAGCACGTTTTCAAGCGAGCGCCAGATGAAGGCATCCCCCACCCCATGTTATTCGTCGGGATTGCTTGAGACCATACTTCACCACACTGTTCACTACAGTTTGTTGACAGTGGGAGCATAGCTGCAGGAACATAGAATTACAGTACCATAATATATATATTTCTGCTCTGCCCTCTGCTGCCAACATCATAGCCCTGTAGCAGCCATTAACACCCGCGTTATGCACGGTTGTCGCCCATCCAAACACAATCCAGGCTCAACCCTGCTTTGAGTCGGAGACCTGGTGAGATCGGGTACATTTTGTGTGATTTGGTCAAAGGCTACAGCAGTGTTCTTCACTAATTTTCAGAGGGGGGCCACTTTTGCCAATAAAACATCAGCGTGAGGGCCACCACACATTTGAAACCAATTGGGTTTGACAGCATGATGGGGTGTATTCACGATTTGTGCTTTGACGGGGGTTCCACGTCAGGGACCACACTGAGGTCACCAGGGCCAGCGAATGGCCTGCGGGCCTTGCATTGAAGAACACCGGGCTACAGTGATATTTGTATATAAATAGCTTCACAGGTGCGATATTGAATTGTATTTACATTTTTTGGGGTCTCTCCGTTATATGCAATACATGGTATATTTGCCCACGTTGTTTCGGATACACTGTCCTATACTTACCTTGCCTTCCCCACTGCACTGCAGTACTTGGAGCAAATCCGGCAAAGTATCTTTGAGAACCTGAAGATGCTGAACCACGCACCCAGCGTTCAGATCCACGAGGTTCCTTCCGACTTACTCAGCTACGAGCGCAAGGATGAGCCCAACCCAGATGCCCGCCCCGGCACGGACGACGCCATAGTCAAGTACGAATGCACTCACGGGCGTATACACACGCATCCACACGCATCCACACGCATCCACATGCATCCACACGCATCCACACACGAAATTAACCATATCCATACACACTTGCCCATACACAAAAAGACAAAGATCCCCCGTGTAGCCTTAACAGACTGTAGGCGCAAGTGCTGTTAGCGAGCACCTATGAAGGCCAGAACGGCACACGAGGGGGTGGGTGGCCAGCACCATGCCCGGCCGCCTTTGTCTCCCTAGTGGCGATGTTTTTACGCACCACACCAGGTACTAATTTGAGGCCGAGTCGACCTAGAAGAGGCCCATGACCGGTTCAGATTATCGTCACTGGTGTTGGCCGTGAGCGGCAATCGAACTCGGGTTGCCAGGTTTGTAGCGCAGCGTGCTATTCGCTACACTAACACACACCTACCCGTACACACAATTGCCTGCCTATAGACTCACCTACTCATACACGGACACGCTTATTGCTTAGCTCAGAGGTAAGGATCTTATGACCTGCGGGCCGAAAACGGCCCACATCTTCATTTTGTAAAGCCCATAGGCCACATGTGGCACAGTGTCCAGAAAGTTCCCAGCACGTGGAGAGAAACATCAGATTTATTGCCGATCAACGCTCAGGCACAACTTGAAATTGCATTAGAGAGCTATGCTGCACAACCGCAAAAAACACACGTCGTACCAATAGATTTGCATTGCCTAATTTACACGTTTGTTGCATTGTTTTTAGCTTCATCAGGGTCACCCCTCCCTCCCCCATTACCCTGCATAATTGACAGGTGACTATTTAATGGACTGACCAGCTTTGCGATGCAATTGCCCATAGGTCCTGTCCATCCATTCGTCCCTTTGTCGCTGAGTCCACCTGTTCCCCAGTTGGTTATGTGTTTGTGTTTTGCGTTCACGGCGTTGCTCTGTGACGCCGTCGAGTGCCTCCTCGTGATGCCAAGCGATGTGTCTCGCGACGAGCAGGCCCGATGCAGCCAACGAGTTTTACGACGGAGACCAGGACAACGACCGGGAGAGCGACGTGGAGGTGTGAAGGCCGGGGGCCACGTGGAGGCCTGAAGATGCGCGGAGGTGTGACCGTCCGAGCACAGTTCTCTTCCACGATATCAACTAGGCATGTAATGATGTATCGATTTATAAATGATGATTATTCTCACAGTCATCAGTAGCCGTGATTTATCCACTGCTGGATAAAGGCTTCCCCCAAAGCGCATTCCCTTCCCTCACGATCTCGCAGTGTAACAATCCACCCAATTCACGATGAGCTGATTTAATCGCTCAGTCTTGGCGGTGGATGTCCACTCGGACATGTTCTCTCCTTTGGCTGCCACTCAATCATTAGACTCGACCACTATGCCGTCATCCTTTTCACTGACGTGTTACTGTTCTGAAGGCCTCTTAACCAATATGATGTGTCTGGCTTGCGTCTGCTCTCTGCTCTGTGTTCCTCTTCCTTTCAGTGTAATTCCAAGCATGTACCTTGCCATGCTTCTTGCACACTTTTCCACTCCTGTTCCATTTAGTTTTTCCCTGCCCATGTTTAAGTTATATCAGATAGTATACACTGATTAGAAATATTCTTATCGAGGCACATTGGTACGTTACGTTTCATTAGTAAGTTCATGTTTGCAAAGGCACCAAAACTTGCTCGTCCACTCCTGACTGAGAGATCATCTTTAATGGTTTGGTGAACGTACATGTAACTTACATTTTACGTAACATTTATTTTGCTTGCTCTGGTTTTATTTCTGGAGCGCTACTTCTATACCAAGTTCTTCTATCACTTCCAGTAGTTCCTTTCCATTGGTTATTACGCCCACAATACACGCATCGAATCGTTAGAATCATACAGCAAACCCTTGCCCATCCACGAGGGTTACGTTCTTGAAAATATCCGCAATCAGTAAATCCGCAAACTCGGAGGCAAATGTGAAAAGTAGGTTGAGGTTGACGGCTCGCAATTCGACACCCCCTTTTATTTTACGATTAATATTTTATAACGCTAAATACAGCTTGTACGGTAAATGTATAGAATAAAAAAACGGAATGTATTGTACAATACTGTACACATCCGTGTACAGTAGTGTACAGTATTGTACATGACGGGAAGAAAAATCACGTGGCCGAACGTCGCTGCCACACTGGAGGCTGGGAATCCATCACCTGGGACCCCCCCCGCCATGGGCTGCTTGGGAGACTAAGATGGAGACAAGATGGCACGTATTTCCTTCCGTGACAGCATCACCGCAAGCAGTACAGTTATGCATACAGGAATCTCCCTGTCAACTGCGAATGGTCGAGCCACAGGGGCGCGATCGGCGAACTGTCCCTCCAATAAATTTGGCATAAAACAATGATGAGGGAAAATCGTTACATGCCGAACATAAAATCGTACTTGATAAAATGGCCTTGTCGCATACGTGTGAATTTCTCAAAAAGTGTTATTTATTTTAGTTACCATTTGCTGTGCTGTGCTGTTTTAGTTGTAAACCAGAAAGGTCGGAAGGGATCCAACCAATCGCATAGTTGTAATTGTTTCTTTTCAGTCTATTTTTTTAGTATGGCTGTGATATTCACAGTTAAACAAGACAAGTCTTGTGGTGCAATGATATTGTGACTTCTCAGATACAGTCTGTTTTCCTATAACGCGGTAGTTGCGTTCCTAAAGAACACCGCATTATAGAAAAATCACATTCTAATAATATGGGGTAAAGCACAGTCCGCGATAACACGTGAGATGCGTATTATGCAGGCTGAACAAAGATTGAGGCGCGTGGTTAGCACGCGCCTCAATCTTAACCTGGAGTGCAGGAACCCCTCAGTGGGTGCGAGATGCCCTTTCTGAAGGTTAAGAACCACTGATCTAGAAGTATCCCGCCTTGGATGATGCTATGCCGAGGTAGCCGTTCAACGGCTTATTCCTACTCGCGCGACGTAGTTCTGTTCACTCAATCGCGTGATATCCAATTCACATCTGCGTTATAAAAAAAATGCGTTCCCTAATACATTCATCACGTCATATCCAATTTGCGTTACGAAAACACGCGGCGTTATCGGAGAACAGACTGCACGTGAATACATCCAGTACTTTACTCATGGTAAAGTGTGACCTGTAAGCCCTGATCTGCGTTGTAATAAACATGTACATCTGTTAATCAGTTGTGTGAATGTGTACCGACTTACGTTGCACAGTGCAGAATAGTGACGTACATATAATTTTGTACATAAATGCGTTTTAAAAATAAAGGCAATGTCTTTTTGTACAAAACAGTGATTTGTTTTTTTGTGTTTGGAACGATTCCTATGTAAGTTCCCTTACCATCGATATGTACAAAACATGTGCCTAGGTTCTGTACATTTGTCAAATCAATAGTTACAGAAATGTTAAAGTGGCCACTGAATTATAAAGTACAGGACTTAATTCCCTGCCCGCATATAATGTAGGCATATAGTATAATGCAGGCATTTATAAATTCCTTGCTGGATGAAGGCCTTTCCACGCAGTGTTGGTAATGGGGGGTTGTTTCACAAAAATTAACCATGCTTGCCACATGAACCGCAACACCTTGCTGATCTCGTCAAGGATCATCAACCATCCCGCGAACTCTCACGGTCATCCTCGCGGCGTCTTTTGTCTAACCATCGAACAAAGACGGGCACCGCATCACGTGCTCTCAGATGCGCTTCTGCGGCCGTCTGGAACGCTTTTACGATATGAGGAGGCCTCTGGGAGCTATGCACTTTTAAGTCTGTTGACAACTCATTTCGATAGAACTGTTTTTTTGTGTTTAGTTTGTCCTTCCGCCAACACCTCCGATTAGAACGGTTGGGGCTACATACGGTGTGAAAGATGTTCAACATACAGCATACACGTTGGTGACGTGGAGCCTTGGGCCGGTTCAAACATGACAACACTGATTTTAGCTGTGGCCAGAAATCGAACTTGGGAGGTTGGGTTAAATAACGCTTTGTGATAATCAGCCCCTGTTATACCTCCTGTATAACAGGCGAGGTAGTTATCATCTCATAGCCACTGCAATGATGAGAGAGAGAGACGCGCAAACTCCAAATATACAGCAGGCGTCAGCGTCCGCATCAATCCCACGACCTCCTGCATATCAGGCGAGGAGGTTAACATCTCCAAGTCACCTCGAAACGAGTGTAAATCTACCATGCGGTGACTCAGGCCGCTGTGCCGTATGTACGCCACATTCTACTAGAATCGAATACCAGGTTGCTGATATTCTGAACAGGTAATGGATTATGACAACGAGTTACCGGTTAACAACCCTAGACAGTACAACAAATACAATACTGTACTCGTTTTAACACGTCGAATTTCGCGACCAGTATCTATAATAAAGGGGGAGTGGGGGGTATATATCGCGTAAATATAAATGTGTCGTTAACCCACCACCACCACCCGACACAGCCAATGGGTAACGGTTTGTCACGTAAACAAAACGTGCACATTAGTTCTTCCTGATGACGATCGCTTGTGTTGCGATCGAAACATTTTTTTAGTTATTTTCTTTGAACCTATCTACGTGACTTTACCGAAAGACCCCAGAATATATAGTTACTACTTCACCACACACCCGGTGCGTGCTGCTGAAGTAAAGCAAACCCAACAACGTGTACAATTTGAGTACCGACCCTGAGCTTTCGCCGGAGATTTGACAACCAGCTTCATCAGGCGGGGAACAAAAACAATCATCTTTTGCACCCGTGCAGCGTCATCGTTATCGATTCTCGATTCCGGGCCGCATTGAAACCGTGGCGCAGGAATCGATTCTTACACACGGCCCACACACACACACACCGCTAAGGACAAATCCTTGTGGCACAGTTAACAGCAGCGACTAAACAACCTACTGGTATACAACACTGACAACAGTCTGAGTAAGCAGTAAGCAACACCGCTCGCCCGCGATGCTGGAGCTGAGGGTGGTGGCGGGCACGCTGCGCCGCCCTCTCCTTCACGGAGGGCAGCGGCTGTCGTCTGGGCCCATCGGGAGGCATTTAAACCCGGGCCGGGACATTCACTGGGGCCTAGAGGGCCCCAACAGGGCCTCGGTCTCGGCTGGCCACAGAGGCCGCGGGCGAGGAGAGGAAGGGCGGGGAGCGCGGGCGGCTCACAGGCGGGCTGTGGGTGAGAGGGTGTCGGGGGGATTTGGGTGACTGGGTGAGACTGGGTGATGTTGAGTTGTGTGTGGGTGGGTAGTGCGTGATGTGTTTGATGATGTGAGGATGGGGGGTGATGTGAGACTGGATGATGTTGAGGTGTGGGTAGTGTGTGATGTGTTTGATGATGTGAGGATGGGGGGTGATGTGAGACTGGGTGATGTTGAGTTGTGTGTGGGTGGGTAGTGTGTGATGTGTTTGATGATGTGAGGATGGGGGGTGATGTGAGACTGGATGATGTTGAGGTGTGGGTAGTGTGTGATGTGTTTGATGATGTGAGGATGGGGGGTGATGTGAGACTGGGTGATGTTGAGTTGTGTGTGGGTGGGTAGTGTGTGATGTGTTTGATGATGTGAGGATGAGGGGTGATGTGTTAGACTCGGTGATGTTGAGGTGTGGGTAGTGGGTAGTGGGTGATGTGTTTGATGATGTGAGGATGGGGGGTGATGTGAGACTGGGTGATGTTGTGTGTGGGTGGGTAGTGTGTGATGTGTTTGATGATGTGAAGATGGGGGGTGATGTGAGACTGGGTGATGTTGAGGTGTGGGTAGTGGGTAGTGTGTGATGTGTTTGATGATGTGAGGATGGGGGGTGATGTGTTAGACTAGGTGATGTTGAGGTGTGGGTAGTGGGTAGTGGGTGATGTGTTTGATGATGTGAGGATGGGGGGTGATGTGAGACTGGATGCTGTTGAGGTGTGGGTAGTGTGTGATGTGTTTGATGATGTGAGGATGGGGGGTGATGTGAGACTGGATGCTGTTGAGGTGTGGGTAGTGTGTGATGTGTTTGATGATGTGAGGATGGGGGGTGATGTGAGACTGGGTGATGTTGTGTGTGGGTGGGTTGGTAGTGTGATGTGTTTGATTATTATGGGTGATGTGATGTGTGTGGGTAGTGTTTGATTATGTGTTTGACTGTGGATGATGGGTAATGTGATGTTGGGGGTGTTATTGTGGGTGACGTGATGGTTGATGTTTGGCGTGTGATTGACAGATGTTGCGTGTAAGAGAATGTGTTTGACCTCTGGGTGATGTGGTGTGTGTTAGTATGGGTAGCGGTAGTGTAGCAGTTAACGCGCTGCGCTACGAACCCTGCGACCCGAGTTGGATTCCCGCTCACGGCCAACACACAGTGACGATTACCGTACTTGAACCGGTCCTGGGCCTCCCCTAGGTGGACTCAGCCTCAAATGAGTTCTTGGTACGCTGTGTTGTAAACATCGTCACTGGGTGAGACAAAGGCGGCCGGGCGTGGTGCTGGCCACCCACCCCCTCGTGTGCCGTGCCGGCCTTCATAGGTGCTCGCTAACAGCACTTGCCCCATCAGTCTATTACAGGCTACACGGGGGATCTTTGTTGTTCGTACAGGTGACGTGATGGGGGTGATGTAGTTGGGTAATGGCACGGCATACAATTCGGGGATGTGTGTGTGATGTGTACGGACGCGTGCGATGTGATGTGGTGTGTGACTGGGCGATGGGATGTTGTGATATGATGGGAGGTTGTTTGTATTAAGCGGGTGGTGTGGGTGATGTTGTGACGTGTGTGTGACTTGGTGTCATCTATGATGGGCGGTGTGATTTGGTTGGTGTGATGTGTGTGTGGGAGTAAGGTAGAAGTATGATGCGATGTGTGTAATGGGTGGTGTGATGTAGTATGGTCCGTGTAATGTATGAATGTACTGTATGATGTGTGGAATTAAGTTGTGCTGTGATGTCGTGTGTGATCTGTGCGATACGATAAATAACATGCGTGAATTAATGTGTATGATGTATTTCCACGTAAACATGCAATATGTGTTTGGAATCGTTGGACCAACGTTCCAACGTTCCATGTTATGTAAGATGCCATGCGTGTGATATGGTGTATATCACCTAGTTGTATTCACATTGTAGAAATGTGTTTTTCACAGTGTGTAAATTGCTGCATGGCATAGCTTTGTATGCAGTGTGCTGTTGTACAAGGTCCCATGCATTAACTGTGATGCAGTATGTGTAAAGCCAGTGTCGCCATGTTAATTTCTCACCCTCCAAAACAACTTGCTACGAATTCCACCGAGCCTACTGTGAAACTCAAGATTCAATTTAAAGAGGGTCTTGTGTCTGGAATGTTCGGCCAATTATTTTTTTTATATATTTTGCTTGTGGGAGCAAATTTCGAGACACTGCACACAATCGATAGGATGCAAAACTGCGCTCACATAGCCTTGTAACCTACTTGCTGTACTGCTACTTACTGGCCACCTCCTGGCCCCCGCAGGTTGAGAGTATTCACGCACGTGTGTGCTCGTGTCCACGTTTGTACATGGTGTGACGCAATGGCAGTAGCGGTTAGCAATGTGAACCCAGCAACCTCGGTTCGATTCAAGGCCGTGGCTGCCGGAAGTGGCAAGTGATTATTGGACTTGTATTGGCCCTCCCCTAGGTTGACTAAGCCTTACATGAGTACCTGGTGATGTGTTTAAACATTTGAATTGGGGAGACAAAAGCAGCCCACCCACCCCTCTTGTATGTCGTTTCGGCCTTAATAGGTGCTCACTAAAAGCATTGTCTCCCAACAGTCTGTTAGAGACTATATGGGCGGGGCAATATTTCTTTGTCTATGCGATTGTATTTGTCTATTTGCATGTGTGTGTGTGTTTGTCTATATCTTTGTCTTTATGCGTGCGTCTTCGCCTACACGTGCGTGCGCGTATGTCCGTATGTGCACCACAGACCCCGCCGGTGCGGACCTGTCACCACGAGAGGAGCACCGGCTGTCGTATCTCTACGATGGCTTGGTGAGCGGGCAGCGCGCGTGCCTGGCGGAGGCCATCACCCTCACCGAGTCCACGCTCCCGCGCCACCGCCAACTCGCCGGGCAGCTGCTGGGGCGGTTGCTTCACCGCCAGAGGGAAAGGGAAGCGAGCACAGAGGGGCGGCCCGAGACCTTCCGCATAGGTTCAACTCCCTGTCCCCCAAACAGTCGACTCGTCGCATATTTACTCCTGCCAATTCCCGCGATCCTACATACATATATAATAGGTTATAATTATAATGTGCATATAACAATTTACAGCTGTTTTGTCGATCTGCTATTAGATGAA